AAAACCTACAGCTTCCTGGCAAGCCTGAACAGCCGCGTTAACCTGTTCACTCGGACCAAACATCCATTTGTTGGTTGTGGCTAAGCAGTAAGCTGCTTTGAGGAGTGTGTGTAGTTCCTGTTGACTAGTCACCACTTCATGGTCTTTCTTCGTTAGCAAACCATTCTCAAAGGCTTCCTTAGCCAATGCGAGATATGTACGCTTAGCTGGAGCAGGACAGTCTTTGGAAAAACTGTAGGACAGGAGACATGTTCCTTGAGTAACCTGGAGAAAGTTTGTGAAGTAAGAAATCAGGATTTAGCCAGAAACAACAATAACACATTTCTAAATTTGCTTATAAACAAGCCAGGAACAACACAATATACTGTGTTGATGGGGTGTTACTTACTACAATAATATTTAAAGAATGAATTTTAGAGTGTGGGACATTTATTGGTGAAAAAGAAAGAGTGAACAGAAAAAATACGCACCATGTGGGTAAGTACATACAGAGAGCCGAACTGACTGTACACGGCGGCCAGTTTGGCAGCCTGAGCTGCGCAGAGCAATCGATGATTACAGTCTCCCAAAAACCCCTGTTAAAAACATAGAAATAAAAGTTTTTTTAACAATTAGCATTTGTAAATATGAACAAATGTGATCTTTTATTGTTTCTTGTTTCCATCTCCCATCAGCATAGGAAGATTTTAATTTTTTAAAAGATTTTAACAAGGTTATAGTGGTTTTGCTATAATATCTAAAGAGATGGTCTGGCATGACACAACATGGCAAGGAATTGTGTGACTCCATCCTACCAGGTCGATATGGGGCTTCTTCTGAAATGTAGCAAAGTCTTTATCGTTCATAGAGATCAGGATGTTAGCTAGAAGCCCAAGAGATGTTCCAATACCCTGTAATGCATAAACACACAATTATCAATTACTGCATACAGACTGAGTGCTAGTAAAACATCTGTCTTCATTTGCAATACTAAACCTTATAAACTTAATAATATGTTGTGAACACATATGAAAAGCAGGACAGGGGCAATAAAACAACTTAAACAGTGAGCATTAATGGCAATAGGAAACAATGACCATTTAAGGAAATATATTTTTAGGCACTATATTGTATGTTGTTATAATATTGTACAGTTAAATGTTATTTATTTATTACAAGATCATATGGAATTTATGTTAGTATATGGTTAGACTATATTTACCTTTTTATCAGGAAGAGGCAGCACATGGAAACCGACAAGTGAAGCCCAGATGAGTTCTGCTGCCTCCAGCCACAGACCTACAACACAGCCCACACCGTGTATACACACCCACACACAAACATACAATCTCTGACCTGACATTACTGCCAAAATTTGCAATAATATTAGGTTTGTAGTTTTCTATAGACAAATGCATCCAACAATAATATGATCATATTGCTATAGTGTGGTCTTCTGTGATAAAAGGTTAGGCAATTATCATTAAAAAACCCTGATGCTAATATTCACACACATTTTGGTGTGCCAGAATCATACCTAGCTTTTGTAGCACCTGTCCCCGAACTTGTACGCTGACTGACTGCACGAGGACCCGATCGCAATCCCGCTGGTATTTCCAACAGCCTGGAGCAGAAACATATAGTACAAGGATATGTCACTATTGAAAAGAAGGATTTTCCACAGTTTTTCCTCATCATTTAATAAACAGTAATTAAAAAGATTCCAATATTCCGATATTGATGGCATATTCTCCTCTACATTATTGTAATACATCACTGTGTCTGCTGCTGTCAGCCAATCAGAACACACACTTATATAAGGAATTAATTTGGGAGTTTGGTTTGAGAAATATAATTTCATAACACATGAGTATGAGTATATGAAAATATACTGCCTTGGGGCCAATATCAAAGACTTACCAGTTGCTCCATTGTTATTTATCAGACTGCTCAGTATGTACTCTCCTTTCTGTAGTTTACCTGAGGGAAAAAAACTGTAATCATTAACATTTTACTCTGTTTTCTCAATTTGCATAACTGATTAATTCAGTCGAGTTACTGTAGAATGATGACCTCACCGGTGTTGAGGTAGACTCTGGCCTGCCGGATGATGATCTGAGGGGCGACCGGGGTTTCTGGGTAGCGCATGTGTAGTGCTTTAGCAATCTTCAGCAGTGTGTGAGAGCTGTCTACCCAGTAGAGAAAGCGGTCCAGCAGAAAGATGACAGACATTGCCCATGCTGGCTCAGCAGCCATGATGGACACTCTGAGGAAGACCTTTAAGTAGCAAGAGGTTAGAATAATGATAAGTAAGGACACTTAAGCCAGTAAATCATTTAGGAAGTTGAAAATGGCCTTATTATTATTATTATTATTACTATTATGTCCAAACTGATATAAAATTGGTATTATAGGTTCTACAGCTGTATCGGCATTAGTGGACAAACCCATGAGGCTGTAGGCGGCACTAGTCATTCACAGAAAGTGATTCTGTAATTATAAACACTGTGCAGTTTTTATTTACATTACCTAGTTGTTTAGAAATTGATTTATTCATATTTTATATTCATATTATTTCTGAGGTCGATACCATTAGCTGAGGTAGATGTCTGCCAATGAGATCTGTAGTGTTCACTTTGTCTTCTGATACCACCGAACGCTTGTACTGCCATTTCTCCTCAACAAATGGCCACTTCATGTTCACTGCCTCCTGCAGGAGAGTGTTCAGCTCAGCAGACAGCACGCCTAGGGGTCAAAGGCTGGAGGTCAGATGGTTTAAAGCAAGTGTTATCACAGTGCCTGAACTATGAGATAGCGAATGCTAAAGTCTAACCTCTAACAACTTTAGTTCCTATAGTCTGATATCTGGTAAATCATATATCACATACACACTTCTGTTTTAAATGTGCATTAGTGATTCCAGTTAATGCTGTTCCTGCTGATTGGTAGGATGTTGGTGGTCCACATTTTTTGTTTTGTTCCCCCTGACTCCATCTTCAACACATTCTACAGATCATATCTTAAGTTGAATTGATGTTTTAGAGCAGGAAAATTATCAGAGTGGGTCAAGCAGACTTGGTCTTTGATATAATCAACATTTTCAACTTTCACCAAATGTACAACCTAAAACCAGCATACACAGACTGAAAGGAAATCATTACCTCTGGAATTCTCGAACATCTCCTTGTCCGCTGCAGTGATGTCTCTCCTTGCCAGGTGGAGACACTCCTCCAGCTGCGCCGCTAACTCCAGAGTGTTCATAACTTCAACAGCATTCAGTTTTCTTCACTGCCTTAAACCATGTTGGATCACTAAACAGAATAGAGATGTTGCTTAACCTGCTGTAGTTGGTTTGTGTTTGAGACACACAGACATTTCCCATGGGAAAATCCTCTGTGTTGAAACATCTACAGTTTCCAACTCTTACAAATATTGAGTAAGATTTACAGAATTTAATTACCTCAGTGCTGTGTAAGGAATAAAACACTGTCTGCATGGTTTTATAGGAAACTAATCAATGATGGTATGATGTGTCCGGACATGAAGCGTAGTTACTTTTACCACCTTGAAGTTGATTATTTCCTGTAACAGCACATACCAAGGTGGTTTATTCCTTTAATACAACAGCAATTTACCAATGCTAACAAATGCTTTATTTATTAAAGTATGATACATCATACTTTTTATCCATTTATAGTTACATTTAATGTTGTGGAACATCTGCGAAACAAGCTGGTTCATATTATCACTTATGTTGTAGCAGCTATAAACAGTCATTTTCTCACCAACCTCTCTTTATTTTCTCTTGAAGTTAATAAGACAATTAAAAAATTTTTTTTTTACTTCTATCCTGAAGACTTTCCAGTGGCAGAAAACTTACTGACTGTTACAAAGTGCTGACACTGGAGACTCCTTCCATAAAACTTAGCCATATCAATTATTATACATTTTTGTTAAATAACAACACATTTTTAAAGATGCTATTAGACTTTGATTATATAGATTGTCCTCCATACAAGTCTATGTGAATGATCTGTTACTATAGAAACACATTAAAAACAACGAATCTACAATTAATCGACACATTCTGACCAATCAGAATGAAGAATTCAGTATCGGAATTAATAAATCACTATAGGTGTTCAGCTGTAATCCAGTACTGTAACATTTCATTCAACACTGGTCAAATTTCTTTCAGCATCTCAAAAATGTTTTTTCAAGCCCCCTTTTCGATTAACATATATTATTCCCGTATTAAATGTTCATACCTGATGATAAGGTGTGATAATCGGATACATGGCTGTTAACAGTTTGCAGTATGGTGCGTTTTTGTAAAGTGACTTTGCTGTGATTGATGTTGTGACTGTTGTGTTCTTTCCGAGTTGTTGTAGTTTCAGATTTTCCCACTTCCGGGTTCCGTGTCGCTGCTTGCTTCCTATTGGACTAAAAAATGACGTCATTGCGCTCTATCACGTGCGTCGATTACGTAACAGCTGTAAGCGTTAAGATGATGCGATATAGACGCGAAAAATATTGTGTGCACGTCGTGCAGGTTAATTTATAATCGAGCCAGAAATTATAACCAATTCCTAACTTTGCTTTCAGGCAGGTTGTTAATTAATTAATTAATTTGCATGCAGTTACTCCAGAGGAAGGACTGCAGAGGTACCCATGCTAGCTCCCTGACAGCCTTATAGCTAAGTGGATGAAGGTAATGTTAGGATTTTGTTTTGGAAAATTCGGTATAATTAATGCTAATTTGGTATATCTGTTGGTAATCGGAAAGATGAGATACTTCAGCTCATGCCACACACAAAAGATGATAATGTTACCTATCAGCTAACAAATAGTATGTATTGCTAGCTAGCCACATAAAGGCTACAAATCAAATGTAAATATTCTGTATACTGTATTCTTACCCCGTCTCATATAAACATATATATATGTGCTTCGTGTGATTTAAACGTTCATTTGCGCTCTTGTAGAGTTAAAAGATCCAGATGTGGCCTTGTGCAACAGGTGGCTCCGTGGCGCAATGGATAGCGCATTGGACTTCTAGGCAAAACACTAGCGATGTGATTCAAAGGTTGTGGGTTCGAGTCCCACCGGAGTCGCGTTTTTGCAAATTAAAGAAAACATATATCTTTAGACATATTGTTGAAAATTGTTAAGATAATAGTAATAGGATCGGATATCTATCAAGCGGTGAAGCTGAAATTCTCGATTTGTTATTAGAAATTGGTTGTTCCTGCTTAACCGATGCTGCAGTGATGACAGGTCGCCTCTAGAGGGCGCCATTTTCACCCATTAGGTCAGGGATGTCCAATCTTAACCACAAAGGGTCAGTGTGGGTGCAGGTTTTCATTCCAATCAAGCAGGAGCCACACCTGATTCCACCTGTTTAAGTTGATCTTGGCTTTCAATAGACTCAGGTGTGGCTTCTGCATGGTTGGAATGAAAACCTGCACCAACGCTGGTCCTTTGTGGATAAGATTGGACACCTGTGACTTAGATTCCCAACCCTGGTCCTGGAGAACCCTCTGTCCTTCCCATGTTAGTGAAGGTGTGTTAGAGCAGGGGGCTCTCCAGGAACCTGTGCATTACAGATGTACAACGTTAAAGCATTCAGATGTTGCTATTGGTGTTTGATCTTGAAAACAGGTTTCCTTTTTTTCATCCTGTTAATTTCCCCCAGCTACATTTTGAAGAAAAAAAAAACAACAATAATCATTGTATACATCATTATAACAACAAGAATAAGCAATGCCATGTATCCTGACCAGTCAGAATCAAGAATTCGACAGTGCTGTGGTATAACTTGATTTATTTCATTCGTATGATCCAAGTGATATGCATTTATCTTCCATCTATAGGAAATAGGGCTGGACCAATAAATGATTTGGGAAGTGAAAACTGCAGATTAAGTATTTCTTGTATTATTATTATTATTATTATTATTATTATTATTATTATTATTATGGCCCAACCAATAAAAATCGGCTGATGTTAAAGATTCTACAGACTTTTAGGGCTGTTCGATTCCAGACATTTTGGAGTTGAGTCCGATTCCAAGTGATCCAAGGAATCGATGGAGTCATTTCCAAGAGTGGAAGCCACACAATAATTTTTTCAATTCCAAAAACCAAGCCATAAGGCGGAGATTGCGGGGAAAACAGTGCGGTGTTAATTAAGCAAATGGAATGGTTTTAATCTGCAGTGTATTTCAGTACATACTGCTACTGTTATGGACTATGTAGGGGTGCGAGTGCGGGTGCAAATGCGGGCAACGTCACTGTGTGGAATCAAGTCTAAAGCTTTGGAGTCAACTCTCGATTCCCAAATGCCTGGAATCGAGGAACTGATTCCTTCTGGGATTGATTCCCAGCCCTAGACTTTGGTGGAAGTCACTCTGATACGGCAATCATTAGTCATTGTTTTCATTATTACGGAATTGAGTCTGCCTCTGATTTTGTTTTTGTTGTCATAATGTTATGAACATGTTTTCTGTTTTAACCTTGTTCTATTTTAAAATCTTTTTAAACAATCTAATTATATAATAATAAAAAATAGTTAATAAAAATATTAACATGAGGCCTGCCAGTGTGTCACGATAACTAGTCACTGTATACATCATTAACAGCAAGAATACATAATGTCATATACTGTATCTTAAGGTTATATTCCTGACCAGATAATCACACATTTTAGCAAATGATATATATTTCATAGCTTCTGTGCCATTTGGCAATATCAGCTTCATTAATTATACACATAAGGGAAGTAACTTGTAACTTGAGTTACTAAAGTACTAAGTATCACAATCTGTTATGTACATGCCCTGTACAAACGATGTGATTAAAGGTTGTGGCATCGAGTCCCACTGGAGCAGATTTTCTGTTTCCAAATGAAAAACCTATCTTTAGATATATTACTCAAAATTGTTAAACTATAACTCAGACCTAGTAAAGCTGACTTAAAGCTGAAATTCTCAGTTTCTTATTAGCCGATGCTGCAGTCATTTATCCCACCATATCAGAATATTCAGACCGCAGTATAAAGAGATTAAACACTTTGCTCCATTATAACATGAAAAGACAACATTTCTTGAAATATGACTAGAAACAGCAATTTTTCACTAAGAAGTCCAGAATTACAGATTTATCAAATGAATGTCTAATTTTTTTCTAAAAGACTTGAATGCATTAATTAGACTCAACTCGTCAGACTGAAAATGAGTGAATTTAATATAATTATTTTTTTAATTCAAAGATTAAAAAACGACAACAGCCTCGACAGCCCTTTCAAGACTATAATACCCAGCATTCCCTGCTTCTGCCCGCTGACCGGAAAAGGAAAGCGACGGATTATTTACAAAATCTCAACGGCAATACAGCAACTTTTTTTTTTTTTTTTTGTATTAGGAATATTATTAGTAACATTTGTTTATGATTATTGCACTAGTTCCTGTTCATTCAGATTGCATTTGACTGGAAGGCCTGTTGATTAAGTGACAGATTAAATGAATAAAATGAAATGAATTGCTGAGCGACAGATGGATGCTGCACCGCAGCAGATGGGCTCTTCATTTTATCTGATCTGCGGATAACCAGATAAAAAAAAATAGGACACTCGAGGAAATAAAGAGGGAAAAAAAAGACAGAAAATCAGGTCAGATCAGAGAGAGACACGGCATCATGGTGGACAACCGCTCCGCCACGGCGCTGGTGATCGCGTGCGTGCTGAGCACCCTGGCCACCGTTTACCTGTCTGTGGCGGTGGGCACGCGCCACTGGTACCAGTACACAAGCCCGCAGGTGCGTCACGAGCACAACGCGACCGAGCTGCGCGCGCTGCACCAGGAGCTCAGCGACGGAGAGTTCGACGAGAAGACCGCGAGCGACGCGATGTTCCGCCTCAACGGCACCCTCGGCCTGTGGTGGAGGTGCGTGCGCGTGCCCGCCGACCGCAACCGCTGGTACCGCGAGCCAGGTGGGGGTCCGTGGCGCGCGCTCTTATTGCCCTAATAATAATAATCATCATCATCATCAACTATTATTATTGTTATTGTTGTTAAAGATATTATAATTATTATTATTAGTAGTAGTAATAGTAGTATATGAATACGGAACTTATGATTATTATTATTAATGATATACTAATTATGAAGACATCACAAAGTCCTAAATACAAACTAAAGTAATTAAAACAGTATGTGTACATGAGATAATACAAATACACAAGTTATAATAAGTATGTAAGAGTGTGTGTGTGTGTGTGTGTGTGTGTGTTTAGATCCTGAGATGGACACAGAGTGTGTGAGCTTCACACTGTCTCAGCAGTTCACACCCAAATACACAGAGCCAGGCAACCATAACAGCGGGGAGGACATAATACGCACCTGTGAGTGAGACAAACACACACACACAAGCTTGCTCGCCACTGTCAAATTTAATTTATAACATTCACAGCACATTCATGGTAGCAGCCAAAGTATTTGGGCTGTAATGTGACTTCTCTAGTATTTAATTCCACTTCTTTATATGTATAACATATGTAATAATAATGTAATAACATACACTATATTTGATATATAGTACATGTACCACAGTTATTAATATATAAATGAATAAATGTATTTATTTCCTTGCTCTGTATAGATCTGTGGAGGTGTCAGTTTCTCCTGCCCCTGCTCTCTCTGGGTTTGGTGTTAGTGGGAGGGCTGGTGGGATTCTGTGCATGTTTGTGTCGTAGTTTCAGTCCCACACTGGGCATCGGACTCCTCCACCTCCTTGCAGGTCAGGAACTTTTGGTTCTCAGAGAAAAATCACCAACATCCATACATCAAGCACCTACATTTGCTCATTAGACACCAACTTTTTACATTCCATCATTCACTCTCCATCAAACACCAACATTCTCCATCAAACACCAACATTCTCCATCAAACACCAACATTCCGTTAATCATCAACATTGTATATTAAACACCAGCAGCCTGTATCAAACACTTACACTCTCAGTAAACATCAACAGTCCCCATCAAACACCAAGATTGTCCATCAAGCACCAACACTCTCCATCAAATGCCAACATTTGATCATTAAGCATCAAAACTAAAGTTCTCTATCATTAAATCCTTCAAATACCAACATTCTCCATTAAGCACCAACATTCTTCATCAAACACCAACATTCTCCATAAAACACCAATGTTCTTCATCAAACACCAACACACACTATTATTTCTGCAGTAAATACACTATTATTACTAGTAAACTGGCAGCCTTACGTAGCTTTTCTAAAAACTATGGTACATCAGGTTGCTGGTCGAATCAAGTCTCTAATTTAAACCAGTTCCCTCCACTCCTGCACCATCTCTCTCTCTCAGGTGTGTGTTCTCTAGGCTGTGTGTGTTGTTTTCTGGCGGGTATGGACCTGCTACACCGTGTCTCCGTTATTCCAGACCAGGTGGATGGCTCTCTCGGTTGGTCCCTCTATCTCGCGCTCATCTCCTCTCCACTGTATATGATGGCCGCCGCTCTCCTGGTGTGGGCCGCTCGCAGCCACAGCAAGAACTACTACCACTTCACTGCCTACCGAGTGGCCTAGAGCATGCATTTGAAATGGTTTCAGCCAGGTCTGTGTCCCAAATCACATAATACTGCACTAAACACACACACACATCTTTCATACTAACATACTAAATAGTATGTAAACATACTATAACACCAACATACTATTGTAGCAAATAATATGTTAAAATAGTATGACACCATACTACTATGCCATAATGCTATCATACTACATACTATGGGGAAGAGAGTACACCTTCATATAACCATAATAACATTGTTGTCAAACTAATGTACTAAATTGTGTGGAAAAAGACTATACATCCAGGTTAAATAGTATGGAACAAAGCCACGCCCCATACAATGGAACTAATAATATGGCATATTAGTACACCACAATGCTACCATACTAAGTAGTATCAGAAAACAGCACTACACCATACGGCTGTACTGAATAGTATGATAAAATAGTACACTGCCATACTATTTTGCTAAATAATGTGATATATATGTACACCAAAGTACTGCCATACTAAATAGTATG